ATTAGGGTGCCGCGTCGTGTAGTATCGGTCACTTCAAGCGCATTTAGGGGGGGCATTCAAATTGATTCGCCATGGCCAAATTAAAATGCAACAGCGAAGCGTTGCCAATTGTGATGCAAAGACAAGCAAAACAAAAAAATTGTAATTAACTTGTTCTAATGTCTTTATAAAGGTAGCAATATACATATATGTATATATATATATGTGTGTGTGTGTGTGTGTGTGTGTGTGTTGGGCGAGCTTCTTGTGCGCTCTTCCTGTGTCACTCTCTCTTTGTCTCGTTCTAACACTGCTGCTGCATTTGACTTTCGGCTTTGGCTGTGCGGCGAATTGGCAACGCTGTTAGGATTAACCTTTAAGCGAGCGCAAGTAACGTCAATAGTCAAACGCCAATGTTAAAAACGTGCAAATATTTTCAGCACACGCTGCTATTAGCTTGTTTTGGTATGCGAGGTATGCGCACACACACACAAACACACACATAGTCAAATGCATGTACAGTTTTGGCGCGCCTTCTCTCTCTCTCTCTCTCTTTCTGTACTCTCTGCCTAAGCTGCACCTATAAGCCCCATTTGTTGTTGTTTTTCGTGTGTATTACATGCAAAATGAGAAATTACTGCTGCTGCTTCTTCGTCTCCTTTATCGTCTTCTTCATCTTCTTCCCCTCCCCCCCCCCCCTCTCTCCCTCCATCACTATTAACTTAACCGAGTAGTCAGCGTCGCAGTCGCGTCGCTTGGCTTGGCTAAGCGCTCGCGTAGAAAGTTTTAGCGTTAACGGCCAAGCAACCGCCCAACCGCCCGGCCGCCGCTTTGATCATGCGCTGCCTTCGTCGCTGCGCCTGCCTGTTGCTGTTCGCTTTCGACCTTTCTTCTTTTCATATGCCTCACACGCTGCGCCATGCCCTTATTTCTTCTGCTGTTCGCTAAGCAACAACACGAGACTCTGTTACTGTTAACGCTGCTGCTGCTGCTGCTGCTGTCGACGTCGACGTCGGCAGTTGCAGCGAGCAGCAGGCACTGCCACAGTGGAACACAATTAAGTATGTGTTTTTAAAGTTGTTCTATGGAAAAATATGTTTTCTTAATTCCAGCATTTTCTGAACTTTGTTTTTACTTATATTTTCTTAGTTACAGTTTGCAATAAGAAAAGGAAGAAGAAGAAACAGATATGAACAGCTTTTAGTACAAACGGTATGGTTATTTTATCATACTTATAAATAATATTTTTGTTATTTGTTAATAAATATTTTTGTTAATATGTAATCGACAAAATGAAATCATCTCCATAAAATCAGTTATAGAAATAGATTTAAGCTGTGGGTGGGCTTGTGAGTTATTTCTTCATCATAATTATTATTACTATTATTATCATTCATTTATTTTTTCTTTAACTATGATCATATTGGCGTAAATTCAGTATACATATATTCTAGTTTTCGTTAGTTTATTTTTGGTATTTTAGCTGTGCTGTATTTTCTTTTTATCACATATTTTACGAGCATCTGGGCACTGTCCATGTGTTCTTTTCTTCGAGTGCCTGCCCATTGTGACTTATTTTTTGCCCTCCATTTTGACTTCGGCTATGAAAACTTCTTCGGTTTCTGTTTGGGCATCGGCTTCTGCTTTGATTGTGACCTGTGCATTTGTTTTTTTTTTTTTCTTTGACAAGGCCTTGGCTAGATTTGAGCCCATTGTTTGTCGACTCGGCGGGGGTGTGAGATACATGCACACACACACACACACACACACACACACATGAACGTAATATACTTTGAATGCATGCCAAGATCGTAGATGGAGATATGAGAGACGATATGAGAGCTGCGTCTGCCGTCATTTTGTTAACGCTTTTTACACTAACCTGTATCTGATTACGTCTGACGTCATAGTGCAGCCAATTGTCTGTGGAGAAGGCGATCGCGAGCAGCGCTGTGGCGATAATCGCACAGATAGTCGCTATCGATAGCGTTACGGCCGAGCAGGGCATTTTATTCAATTAGCTATGTGTATATACTGACAACAGCTACTGTTAATGCGCCAGCTACTGTTAGTTGCCGCTGTTACTGTTACTGTTACTGTTACTGAGCTCCTTTTGCTGCCGCTAAGACGGTTACTTTTTTTGTGGTTGCGACGTTTTCCGAACCACAAACAAAAAATACGGTTGTTTTTGTTGCTATTATTATTATAATTATTATTATTATTATTGTTGCTGTTGTTATTTCTGCTGCTGCTGCCTCTTCTGTTCACAGCTAGCTTCTGCTGCTGCTTCTTATGCCAGCAACCAGTTTGTGCTGCTGCGGCGACACAGAAAAAAATAACTCGAAAAAAAAAATCGACGTGTATAATAATTTAGCAAGCGGCTGCGGCAAACGGGAACGGGCCAGCAAGTAACACAGGCACAGTAACCGACACACGCACAACAACACACACACTCACACACACGCGCACGTTGAGACGTTGCTAATGCGACTAACGACAACGACAAACTGCGCTCAAGACAACGTTCGCCAGCGGACTGAACGCCAAAACTCTGAGCCCAGTTTCAGCAGCTTAGCTCAAAACGAAACAGGCGACGACGGCGACGCCAGCCGAGACTGAGGCAGCGGCAGCGGCAGTAGCAGCAGCGCTGAAAATGCAGCCGACCCGGCTCGTCTACCTGCTGGATAAGACCGCCAACAACAACAACAACAACATATGCGACAACGTCGGCTGCGGCTGGCAAGCAAGAAGAAAATCACAAAAACAAAAACTTCAACGATCGTTGTTTTTGTCTCTGTCGTTTTTGGACTCGTGTGTGTTTTGCGTTGTTGTTGTTGTTTTAGCAGCCTGTTGATATTTTTTCTCGTATTTGCTGCTATGGTATTTTGAAGACGTTGACAGGAACAGGGGCTGGGGCAAGCTGTACACTGCAAAAAAATATGAGAACGAAACTGTTTTTATTTTCGTTTTCTACCATTTCGGCAGTAAAAGAATACGTTGTTTTTAGACTTAATTGGATCGAGCTAACATTTGTATAATATTGCTAATAATAATTAATGCTAGCCTGGTTCAAGGTACAGAGTTAAAATTTACATTAAGTAAATGTATACAGTATTATAATTCATGCACATTTGGACACCCAATTATTTTGTTAGTTCAAACCAGTTCCTTAACATTTACGAACAAACTGCCTTTATTTATTTTGCAGGAATTTATAAAAATAGAAATTTTATGTTCTTAATAAAATAAAACAACATTATTTACAAATATCTATATACATATGACAATTTTAATTTCTCAAAACTCAATCAAAAATTAAGCCTACTTATTTTTCACCAATTAAGGCATAGCTATAAACATAATTCTTTCAGTGTACTGCCGAATAATGCAATGGCGTGCAGCTGTGTGCAGCGAATGATGCTGCGACTGCGCTGTTGACGTTAACGTCGCTGCCGTGCGGCGCAGGTAAGCAACAACACACAGCACAGCAAGTGGTATGCGTTTGCATGTGTTTGTGCGGTGTGTGTGTGTGTGTGTGTGTTGGTTTGGCATTGGCATGCCGTTTCGTTGTTGTTTTCATCAGTTTTATAGTTGTCTTCTATTTTGGGTTTTTGTTATTGCGTGGGTTTTTTTCTCAATTGCATTTTTGGGCGCGCTCTCGACGACGACGACGACGGGCGACTAAAATGTGTGCGTGTGTGTGTGTGTGTGTGTGTGTGTGTGTGTGTGACCAAATACCAGAATTGCCTAGATAAGTAACAACAAATACGACTGACAACAGGATAGGCAATTCTCGATTATTATTATTGTTGTTGTTGTCGTTGGCTGGCTGGCCAAACATGTCGGTGCCTGCCTGTCAGTCAGTCAGTCAGTCAATTTGTCCAGCAGTATTTCGTTTTCTTTTCGCATGCCGTTTGCATTCCACAGCGTCAACTTTGTTGCTGTCGCTTTTGTTGTAGTTGCGAGTGCTGCCACTTATGGCGTGTTGTTGTCGTTGCCACTAGGTTATTATGTATGCGATGGGGGCATTTAATTCACATTTTAGCACAAATTATTAAATATTTGACAGCAGCAATAACAACAGCTACAACAACAATGGCTACGGCAACGAAAGTGAGAGCGCCGCGCCAAGTGAAAAGACTTCCGCTGTCCACTGCCGAAAGAATTGCTAATTTATGCGATTATTGGTGAGGCCAAGCCATACACTCAAAAAAATATATGTATATACATATAATAAAGAGCAAAAAACAAAACAACGCTTCAGGCTGCCCTGTCGCCGCAGACGCGTTTTTGTAATTTTAATAACTATGCATTGTTTGGCCAATGGACAAACACAGAAAACGTGTTCGTTGTTGCGCTTGCCGCAGTGAAAGTAACAGGTGACCGCAACGGTCAACGCCGAAAACGTCGCGTCGCTGTCAACGCCTCCAACAGCAGCGCATCCAACGTGTGCACACACACACATACATACATAGGGTAGATACGATATAAATATGTGTGCATTGTTGACCCACAGTCGAGACCCTTGCGCATGAAAGTCGTCGAAGCGCGTGTGAAAGAGAGCTGTGCTGAACACTTAAATTTCTAAAAATCTAAGGTTATCACTGCCAAAATCAACAAATATACGTATGTACATCCATACATTGTATATGCATTAACGATTAATTGGCATGATATGGCAGCTTTAACGCCCCAGGGTAAAGGCAACACAACTTGGCGTTCAATCCTGATAGGTGTTATAAAATCATTCTTGTGATTTTTATATTTGATTGTTTGTTGTTTGGCCTATAGTACTTCATGTTGATAATTAAGTTTTGTTTCATTAGCCAGCAAGAGAGAGACAATATCGGTTACACAAATTTAAATTCAAACAGTAATACAAATAGCCGCGAGCAGTGTTCAAACAGTGTTGCACAGTGAGAATTTATAACGATAGTTAGATGGGCTGTGCATTGCATACTTTTCAGCATTGCGATGTATGTATATCGATATATTTGTTCTGCAAATATCGGATTTTAATCATTTTAATTCTGGAAGTAGTTAAAACTCGTATCTAAAACCAAAACAAGAATTGATTTTTCACATTCAACAGAATGGCGTCACAATATGAACGTTGTGGCGACATTGTGTGGCTGTGCAAGCGTGAGGCACGCATCTTTGCCTTCAAATGCATCCACTGCGAGCACCAGACAACGGTCTTTCGCAGCTTCAAGGAGCATTTGGTTGCCGCACATGCGGAAAACATGCGAAAGCCTGATGCGAAAGTAGAGTCAGTCGAGACGAAAACTATATGCAATACAATTGAGACGGTATCGGAAGGCCAACCACAAGAGATTCACAAGCAGCAGGCGACCGTAGAAGTGGAAGTGCAGCGAAAAGCTAGCCAGAGCTTGCCAGCTGCAATCGGGTCGGAGCTGGACCTGGATGCTGCATGGCAAGCCCAATTCGATACGTCCAGCAGCAGCAGCAGCAGTGACAGCGACAGCGACAGCGATTTGCTGGACACAGCGGTAAGCCAAAAGCCCTTTGTATGCCCTTCCGCTCAAACCCAATCTTGACACAGCCGGGCGATATGCCTGAATTTTGGCTGCAGGAGCAGCCCATCATGTTGTCGCTCATCGAGCAGCTGGAGAGCGCCCGACCGCTGTGGGACAACAGCATGCTGGAGTACCGCAACTACAAGCGACGCGGCGAGGTGTGCGAGCAAATTGCACGCCAGCTAAGCGAACAATACCAGCTGCAGCTCAAGTGCCAGGAGATTGCGGACTATGCCAAAAAGCTGCGCGCTGCCTATGCACAGGAGCAGCGCCGCCTCCAGCAGCAGCTGGGCGATGCTGACGCTGACGCTGACGCTGACAATGTGGCTGTGGCTGTGGCTGCGACACCAGCAGCTTGGTATTACGAACGCTTGAGTTTTCTGGCCAACAGCGTGAGGCAAAGGCGCAGCGGCAACAGCGCTCGGTCGGGGGCCGGTGCATTGCCAGTGCCGCAGCTGACGCATGAGCAGAACATCAAGTTTATAGAGCTGTATCGGCGCTGTCAGCGCATCTGGGATATGCAGGATCTGAGCTGCCGGCTGCGGCAAGCGCGTCTGGCGGCCAAACAGCAGCTGCTGCAGTTGTGCCGCAGCGAGCTGCCGCAGGCACAGAAACTGGAACCGGCACAGCTGCAGCGCTACATCAAGCACTTGCGCAAAACCTATGCGCAGGAGAAGCTGCGTCGCCTGGCATGTGAACGCGATGGAGCTGCATATGCGCCAGGCATTCAATGCTATCAGCAGCTGCAGTTTCTCGACGCGCACATGGCGCCGTTTCGCTGCACAGAGTGCGACCAAATACTGCACAGCGTCGATGGCTTTAAGATGCATTGCGCCCAGCATAAGGGCCGTTTGCCATTCATCTGTCCGGTGTGCCAGCGCGGCTTTGCGCGCAGCGACAACTGCACCATACACCTGAGACGGCACACACAGGACTATCAATTGGAGTGCGCCGAGTGCGGCAAGCGTTTCGCCAATACCACGGATCTGCATGTCCATCGGCGGCAGCATACGGGCGAGAAGCCCTATTGCTGTGATGTCTGTGGCCAGCGCTTTGCCACCTGCTCGTTCTTTGTGCGGCATCGGCGCAGGCACCAGCAGCGACCCAAGGGCAAGTGCCATCTGTGCGGCAAGACCTTCTACGAGGTGTCCGTGCTGAACGATCACATCAAGGGCCATCTCAATGTGCGCGACAAACAGTGCGATGTGTGCCGCAAGTGCTTCACTAGCGCCAAATATCTGCGACAGCACAAGGAGATCCATGCGCCCAACAAGCGCTACATCTGTAAAATCTGCAGCAAGGCCTTTGCCCAATATGCCGGCCTCAGCGGGCACATGAAGTCGCATGGAACGATTGTGCGCGGCATACGCAAGGAGCGGGCCAGCCCCAGCCCCAGCCCAGCCGGCAACAATCCCGACACATTTCCGGACGACCTGTCGCGATGTCTGTCGGAAAGTCTGTAAGCCAAGCTGGGATTCGTATTAGTGCTATGAGTATTATTATAGATACATTCATTTAAATTATTATATTATTAAGTGATGTGAAGTTCCAGTCATTAAATCATAGCTCAAATGTAACGTAATATGTAATATGGACTTGGGCCGTGTTTTTGTTACTTTCAAAAGCGACGCAACAAGGCGATCGATACAAATCCGTCTAACTATCGACACAAGTCCGTCTAACTATCGATATAAATAATCGAAACCATCGTCTCTTTTGCACATATCTATTGACCAAACCCCAGTTGAACTGACCAACAATAAACCCAAGCACCTGTTCTTCGCTAAAATCCACAAAATAGGAATATAAAAAAGGTGTAGTCTGCTTTTGGGCTTAAAAAAAAAGGCCCGTCCAGGTCCGAGCCAACTTGCAAGTGCCTCGAAAACGAGGCCCTCATGAATATGTTGAACTAGGTCTGACTTCACCTAAAACACATACATAGATCAAAATTTCCCACATCCAAAACTCGATGAAATCTCATCCGATTTTCATAAGGTTTGGCTTATTGTTCATGGTTTGGCCTCTAGATCAATTTGGCATATAAATCTGGCAACATTATTCTTGGTCAAAATTCATGTAGAAATAGTACCCTCAAATATCCTATTTAGACATAGGTTAAAATTTCCCACCCTTGGTATTATATATATATAATATAATAGGTTCCGTTGAACACTTGGCTATATCGTTAGCCTGAACACAAACAAAATTTCAATCTCTTTAATGGACTTTAGATTTGTTAGGAAACAATGTTTAAAATAAAGTATAAGTATTAATATAACATAAGTAAATAATTTATAGATAAAAAGAATTCACACATGTTTTGTATATACACATATACATATGATTGTATCATTTTTATAGAGCAAACCAAAACAAATTATTCAGATAGGATGGGATTTTGTGTTGCAAGAGATTAAAGGGCGAGCGCAAGGCTTATCAATTTGATTAGCACACTTAAGAAGATATGACCGAGTAAAAAGTCGCACCATTGACCCAAAAAAAAAACTCACTGCTTGATGATGGTTCAAAAAGTTTTTTTTTAAACTAATACCAAAGGGTATTATGGACTTGTGGAAATGTATGTAACAGGCGAAAGGCGACTTCCCATAAGATAGATATTCTTCGATCTAGTCGAGTGCGTGTGTATGAATGTTATCGATAGCTTGTTCGATTTTCATGTTATCGATACAAATCGACGCCAAAATTGAAAAGAATCAGCATTTATTCGTATAGAAGGAAGCTGGAATGATGGGTTCAGGGCATCTGCTAGTCGGGCACTCCCGACTAGAGCTGTTTTGATTGTTTTGGTTAGCAGCCAGTGTAAACACAGATATGGCTGAAAATGGATACGGTTTAGTCGGATGGGAAGGGAGGGGAGGGGAGGAAATGCCACCGAGAGACGATCGTGAAGGGAGCAGAGGCGGTCGGTCAACTGTTTAGCGTTTTATCGCCAATTTGTTGGGGCTGCCTACACGTACTCGTACTCGTACTCGTACTCGATACCCGCCCAGTCGAGTTGTATGGGATTTATTTCAGCATTTGTTTTGGTGCGGGTTTATCTTATCGGACAGCCGGCTGCGCCTGGCGAGCGAGGCGAACCAACCGTTGCCGATAAGAGGCCACACAGCACTAAGAATTTCAATAGTTCGATTCGGGGCGAGAGCGTGTGGAAATCGGAAATTCGAGCTGCATGTGAATTGAAATCGTGGGCGATCCCACTGCGTCATAGGTTGGCATCATTTTCTCGTAACGGACGAACGGCATCTGTTCGAAAAAGAGAGCGCAAGAGTGGAAGCGGGAGAGAACGAGAGAGTCAGCGAGCGTAAGGACTGAGCAGCTTGCGGTTAACGGAACAAACAACAATAACAAAAAAATAAAGAAGAAACAACTACTACAACAACAACAACAACAAACACAAGATCAGGAGCGCACAGTGGTGCACAGGTTACCGGAAATAAGCCCTTGAATCAAGCGGCAGAGGTAGGCATTTGCTTATAAGGCTTACAGTGATGCCTCCCTAGATTGAACCACTCGGAAACTATTCACTTAATTGTGTGTGTGTTTTCAAACTACAACTAATCGATGGGCAGCTGCGTTTTTATTACCTTAGGCAACACGAGCTGTGAGTTCGTTTACAGTAGAGCCTTGTCAAGTTAGACAGCACGCATAAGTATTGCACTTTCAGTCTTTAGTATATACATTGCTTTTGTATGGGTGAGATATTAGTTATATTTTTTTTTTGTTATATTCACAGACTGTTAATAGTAGTTTAGGAAAGTGTAGTTGTTTAATTTTTTTTAAGGAAATCAAATTATGGTTTTATTTTTATTATCAAGTAAAATTCCCAAAAAAAATATGTACATTTGTATGTACTTATTAGTTTTTTAATTTATCAAATAATTTAAAATGGAAAATTAAAAACAGCAATCGTTGCAAAAGACATCAAAAATGTCGCTGTGCACATATAGGCAGGCTTGACTGTAGCAGCAGGGAATTACAATGAAGTACTTTATAAGCATATTCTATATATACTTATTTTTTTATGGCTGACATTTTCCGCATAGCTCGCACCACGGCGCGACGATAAGTCGCCTCGCTGCGCTGACGTCATCGACGCGCTTGCAGAAAAGGCAAAGTCGAAGCGTCGGAAGGAGTGCAAGATACGGCGAGGGAGCATGCGCAGGCGCTGTCACACATGCACGCACAACAACAACAACAACAATAGGTAGAAGCAGAGAACATTCGATAAGCCGCCGCTGCACGCTGAGCCTCGAGTCGGGCATCGAAGTCGAACTCGAACTCGAAGTCGAACTCGAAGTCGAATCGGATAAGGCAGCGCTGCAATGCAGGCTGGGGCCAGCAGCAATGGGCCAGTGACGCCTGGCTCGCCGGACTCGGCGCACATAATCATTGGCGCAGCTGGCTACGTGGCCCACGAGCGTCGGCAGCCACACCCCCCCAAGCGACTGATGAACTGTTTTCGCGATCGTTCGACAACCACAGCCTCGAGTGCGCAATATGCGCGCTCGCACAGCTCGACGGCGACGGCGCTGCTGCGTCTGGAGAGCAGCGCCGGCTCCATCCAGGCGCTGGATCAGGCTGGCATTGCGGCCGGCGGCGGCGCTGGCCGCCCGGAGGCGGTGGTGCTGCTGCGGGAGCTGCGCACCAAGCCGAACAAATTGACGCTGCTGAAGAGCAGCAGCACCAGAGATTTGACGCGCCTGCTGCTGGACGAGTCGTCGTCGGCGACAGCAGCATTGCTGGTGTCCAATGGCAGCCTGGACATGTGCTCGTCGAATGCCTCATCGGCGGGCAGTCCGGCGCAGGGGCGCGATCGCAACGGCAGCCGGGAGTGCTGCACGGTGTGCGGCAGGCGCTGGCATCAGCTGAAGCAGCGCATGCACACGCTGGAGCTGGATCTGCAGGCGCAGGCCAGCTACAGTCAGGAGCTGGAGCAGAAGCTGGCCGACCTGAGCCGCCAGCTGGCCGAACTCTTGCAGGAGAAGCGGCAACCCACCACCGCCGCCGCCGCCGCCGCCTTCTCCTCCTCCTACGCCGGCAAACGTCATGGCGGGGGCGGCGCACCCGTACGCCCCTCCAGATTGGCCGCCTGGATGAACTTGGCCAACTGGTGGAAGAGCCGTCCCAGCGTTGAGACGCTGCGCGAGCAGCGCATCTTCTTCGACGAGCCCTGCTTCGATACGGAACTGGAGCTGGTGCTCAAGCACGACCAGCACCGGACTGTGCCGCGCATCCTAATCGATTGCTGTGATTTGATCGAGCAAATGTATCGACGCTCCGCGCAGCCCGTGGAGGGTATTTATCGCCAGTGCGGCGATTACAATAAAATCCAAACGCTGCGCTTCAACATCGATGCCAACGACTATGATGCACTGCGTCGGCCCGGCGTCGATATACACACACTAACCGGCGTGCTCAAGCTATTTCTGCGCGAGATCAAGAGCCCCCTGATCAGCGTTAACGAGGCCAACACGTTCATTGGGCCGCCCAATCAATGGCGTAAGTCGCTGCCCGAATCCAATTCGTATCGATTTCTAATCCATGCCGCCTCACGATTCACAGTGCTCACCGAGCAGAACCAGAAGTTGGACACACTCAAGAGACTGATACGCTCGCTGCCAGAGATAAATCGCGACACCATGGACTATCTGTTTGGACACTTCAATCGGTGAGATAGGCCAGGTTAATTCTGCTCAACAATAATAATATATATATCCATCTCTCTCTCTCTCTCTGGTGTAGACTCACGAAGGTACCGTTGCAGCAGATTAGCGCCGAAACGTTATCGATATCGATAACACCATCGATATTCCACACTGTGGCCCAGGGTGTGCACATGAATGACATACAGGAGCTGCTGCGCGAGGGCGAAACCCTGGCCGATTGTGTGCGGCTTATGATCGAGTACCATGCTCGCATATTCGAGTAAGTGGAGCGAGCTAAAGCCCCCCCCACTCCCCCTCCCCCTCAACAAAAAAAAACAAAAAACAAAGCTTTTGTACCTGTGGTGCTGGTATCATTGGTGTTGGCTAACGCATTATGCTCGTTTCCCAGCTCGTAAGACGCTTCCGATATATAAAGTTATCTCGATTTTGCTTGCTAATTACTCACGCTCAAACAATACCAAAAACTTTTCCCAAAAAACAAATCCTATCCGTACCCAATCCGTACTGCTCCTACTGCTCCCCATCATCATCTCTACACAGATGCACGGCCGATCGTCGACTGAAGCGTCTGAGTGTGCGCAATTTGAAGAAGACGCTTTCCCAACCGGATTTACTATTTCATAACTTATTCTGATAACGCGATGACACACAAGAGCTCAACGCGACCCGATACGCTCGGGTTAACATTAACGATTTTATATATTGTACATACCACTGAATATACTTATAAATATTCTCTTTGATCTGTATCTATTGCTTTACATATGCATTGATCAACCATTACCAGGCTTCCAGAAATGGAAAAAGTCCACAATTGCAATTTCGATAGCTGTGGACTTTTCGATAATACAATCTCAGGTGTGGATATTTCTTGAAAATAACGTGTATCCAATATTTGTACATTTTCGATGTGCTAAGGAATAAAGCCGACTTCATCACTAGCGTAGATGCACGCTGGCTACGGAGAGTTGTCTTTGGTCTTCGCTTATCGATAACACGCTAGCGATTAAAGTCGATCACAATAGACGCTAGTGCTGGAAGTTGACCAGCCTTAGCTTGGCAATCGATAATTCAGTGCAATGATATTAACATTATCGATCATTTTTAAATGGATAATTTTGATAGATTTGTTAAATTTGTGTTTTTTTCACAAAACAAATGGATTATTTAGCAAGCGAGTCACGAGAGAGAGAGAGCGAGAGAGAGAGAAAAGTCTATGTAGACAGCATCAGCGCCTTGCCTTAAAGAAATATCATGCAATGCATTTACTATATATGTATGTATATGTATATTTCGATATAAATTTATGTTTATTTTGAACAGCTGCATAACATTCATTATACGATTTGCGAGTGTGCATTAAAGGGTGTGCTTCAAGTGAAGATTTCAGGGAAGAGCCTATTTTGTTTAACGTATTCGTACAGTCTACATGTCTCTAGAACTAAGTAGCATACAATTATTGAATTACCAACTGGTTTTACAGTGCTTAGCATACCTATGTATTTCTATATATTCATAGATATATATATATATGCATGTATATATATATATATATGTATATGTATAATGTGTGTATGCAATACTTTTGCTGGCTTTCGTTTTGACTGTTCAGCTTTAACATTAGACTAAGTAATTAATAAATATTTTTGTTTATATATAAATATTTGTTTTATCAGAGGGTTGTACATGGTATTGTATTGTGTGTATACAGATACATATATATATATATCATAATCTATTGATTTCTGGTATTCAATTTAAAAATAATAATAATGACAAACATTCGTTACACGATCACAATGTTGGGTCTAATATATATATATATATATATGTATGTATGTTTGTGATGTATATATGTTTATGTTTATGTTCATGTATGTATGCTTACATGACTCAGAATAAACAACTGAATGCATATACTATGTTAAATATACATACACGAAATGAGATACATATATTAAAGGCACAGGGAATCGATACACACATATGGGTCTGAGGTCTTTTAAGAAATTATATATAATTATTATCATATTGCATTGAATTCGAATTGAATGCAAATGCAAACTGAATATACAAATTGTGAGTGCCATTCATATTGTGTTATTCATTCACATACACAAGAGTAAGTACATTTTTGTATGCCAATTTGAACAGTTGAATCAATTTTTGTTTTGCTTTGTTTTGTTATTGGTTCGTTTGTCCTATTTGAAGAAGGGATTCTTGGAGGCCGAGGATTTCATAGTGCACAAGATCTGACGCTCCAGCTGAAAGTCATAGTCAAGCGTTTTCAGCAACGATGAGATTTCGGGCAGTGTAGGCAACTGTTTGAAAGAAATCGATTTGATTATTTTCATCACAAACATTAAATAGAACCTGGACTCACTTCAGTCATCAGCTGGCTGCGCTGCAGCATCGCATGCATGGCAAATGGCACGCCCTCCAGTTCCGTATAGGTGCCCAGCGTGCCGATGCCGAAGTGGCCGCCGCGACCAGCTGTTCCAGTTGCAGTTGGAGCTGCTCCTGTTGCTCCTGCTGTCGACGCCGGACGCGGCGGCGCTGGCCGCTGTGGCGAATTAATTTGATAGTGCGCCTGTATCTCCTCATAGTCATGATGTTCACTCGCAGCAGGCACCTGCGGCAGCTGCCAACAAAACGGATTCGTATTAACAAACTGAATGCTGTGTGTGCCCAGGCCCAAAGCCTCAATTTCTTACAACTCCTTTCAGTATGCTGACGATTCGAAAAGAAAAACAACTCTGTGGTCTCTGTAATCTCTTTAGGGCTGTTAATGCCAAGGCCAATTGAACAAATGCCTAATACTATATATTATAATTCCAATAGAGTATAGACCCGACTGGAAGCATAAACAAGTAAGAGGGGATACCCTGAACTCCCATCTTCCGACAGACGATAGGTATAAAATGAAAGATACTTGATATAGATATATACTATTCTAGAAGCTACAGGTCAAGCTCATATTATTTGCCGAAATTGCTCTAGAAACAGGATTTCGATATCGATTTTTATCGATTACTTGGAAACTCGGAAACAAACTCGATCTGCGCGGGCATTAGAAGGACCTACAGCTAAGATTTCAAGTCTCTAGCTCTTATAGGTTCTGAGATCCTTGCGTTCATACATACGGACAGACGGACGGACATGGCTAGATCGACTCGGCTGTTGATGCTGATCAAGAATATATATACTTTATGGGATCGGAGATGCTTCCTTCTGCCCGTTACATACATTTGCACAAATACATAATACCCTTTTTACCCATTTTCAAATGTGTTCAGGGTATAAAAACCTATTCAAAGAGTTCATCGTTAAGGACCTTAATTTGTTTACTTTGGCATCTATAGAGAAATCCTCCCTTTTTGTCCTACAAAACGGGCGACCTCTTTGTACTTTCAACAGATCTTAGTTCGACAATCTCTGCTCCTCTAGATAATCGAATAGAACTTAACCCGGTGGAACTTATCAAGCGATCAATATGAATCGCTAGATACGAACGACTCACCGGTCCACGTGAGCTGCGCTGGCCCTGCAAATTGAGGCGATTCAGTGCCTGCTCCACTTCACAGTTGTTGCCCGGCACGGGCGGGGGCAGGCGGACCGGAATGGCGCCAGTTTTATAACATATTAGGACACCATTGATATCACCGGCAAGCTTAAAGCCATCGGGCGCTATCTTAAGCTTGGAGCAGAGTATTATGTCGGTAACGGCCTGGACAACGGTGCCACGTTTCGACAGCTTGTAGGCGATCTGACGTTTGCGCCACGCCTTCTGATCGGTGTCCGCGGTGCGAGAGAGCAGCGAGAATTCCTTGGGCGGCGGCACCTTCTCCGCAATAACTCTGTAGGCAGCAGTTGATTAGCTTTATATTTGTCTATAGATTTCATTGAGCGCACACTTACTTGAGCGTCTCCACGACGTATTCGGGCAGGCCCTCGGATTTGGATAGGCACAAATAGCGTGTCGTCTGTCGTCCAAACAGTATGTTATTTTCACGCCAAAGATCCGCATCCGCATCCTGATCATATGTCCGATGTATGGCATTAAAGTTCTTTGGGCAGCTATCAAAAATGCGCACACAATTGAATATAATTGAGGTTATGACACTTGCTTGATTAATCGCTCAATTAAACGAGCGAGTGGAGAGAGGTCACGGAACTAGTTCAATTTGCATTAGTGCAACTGCACAAGCGACCCTTAGACAATATATGTACAAGCTCTTCTTAGAGCGAGACAGAGCAGTTCATTGAACTAGTTCAGCTAGTTCTAAAGACAGTTTAAGGCAATGAATTGATGAGTAGAAGAGGTCACGGAACTAGTTCAATTAGCATAAGCTGAAGCGACCCTTAGACAATCTATGTACAGGCTCTTCTTAGAGCGAGACAGAGCAGTTCAATGAACTGGTTCAGCTAGTTCTCAAGGCTGTGAAGTGAATGATTCGCGAGTAGAAGAGATCACGGAACTAGTTCAATTAGCATAAGTGCAATTTCACAAGCGACCCTTAGACAATCTCAGCTCGTACATAGCTCTTAGAGCGAGACAGAGCAGTTGAATGAACTAGTTCAGCTAGTTCTGAAGGCTGTTTAAGGTATTGAAGTGAACGACTCGAGAATGCCCTGTAATAAATGTACTCAATGCTATTTGTTAGGTTAGATCGAGATTTTAGAACAAACAACTTTACAAGTTCCTAAAACTCGTTGAACTTACACAAATACGATGACAACTTAAGCACGCTTCCAACTAGAAACTACCCTACTTAAAAACGGCTATATAGCTTTGTTAGCTTTGTTGGAGACAAAAGATCGAAGCCTACGTATCAAATTTGATATATCCAGCATAATAATTTACGAATTCTGCTTTAAAAATCATGCCCTAAAGTCGATATTTATCGATATGATAAAAAATAATAGATGAACAGGAGAGATTATATTCGATCTTTGACAAATCAGAAGCTAGGATTGCCAATCAGCTTCTCTCGATCGTTGCTTTAACTTATTGAGAATTACAAGCAATTGGCAAGGCCCTGTACTCAGTCCAAAGCCAAAACCACTTGAGAATTATAAGCAACCCAAGTGCAATCTACAAAAGAGCGTCGTCGCCTGGCTAAGCAATACAAGTATATACTTTATGGTTGCACGGGTATTATAAATACAGATTCGTAGCACTTCCGGATTGGGCCACAGTCTATATATATATGCATATACGTAGATAAAATGATTTCACTTACCGATCGAAATCCTCGACTATGTGCAGAGAGGTAATTGGCCGATTGTCCGGCAGGAAGTTCCTGATCGAATTGAACACATTCATGGGGCTGGTCGCCGAGCCATTCGGTGCCCCCGCCGCCGCCGCCGCCGTCATCGTCTGCGTTACGGCGGAGCCGAGCAGGCCATTGGGCGAGCCGTTGACGGCCAGAGCCGTGCTCCCGCTCTGGATGTGCTTGCCTGCTTTGTTCATGTCCTGGCGGCGACTGTTGGCCAAATGTGTGAGAGAATTGCGCTTATCGCCGGCTGCCGGAATCGCTGCCGGATTCGCTGCCGGAATCGCTGCCGGAATCGCTGCCGGATTCGCTGCCGGAATCGCTGCCGGATTCGCTGCCGGAATCGCTGCCGGATTCGCTGCCGGAATCGCTGCTTGCGTTCGCTTCGAGCTGCTTGGATAAACAAATACACATAAGCATATGCACGGATATATGTATGTATGAATTGTATGCTATGTATGTTAAATTCTTTGCAATGTTCGTTTCTGACACATTACTCATACGCCACGTTGCCGAACTTAATTAAGCGATTTCCAATGACATTTTCAATAATTTTTTTGAATGGGCATTTCCCCAACTCTGATTCATAATCGAACCAGCGCTGCACTCGCTGCCCACTTTCTGGCTCTCATAATGGAAACAAAAACAAATGTAAAGGCAATTTATTGTTATTTTTTATTGTTGACGCCAAAGTTTCTCTTTAACACACACACACACACACACACACACACACACACAGAACCAAAAACAAACAAATGCGCCTTGGGGCGCTCAAGTGCGCACATTTGGATACCCTGCAGCCACGGCGAATGCTTAAAAAGGGTATCGTGTTTCTGTGCAAGCGTTTGTAACAGGCAGCAGGCATTGTCTCTCTTCTTGATCGGGAATCGATTTAAGCAAGCCCAGCTTGCGAGTTTATCGTTTATCGATAACTGCCATTTGCTTGCTATCGATAAGTATCGATTTGAAGACTTTGTTTTTTTTTTCAAGCACAACTCGGGCAATATAAGAGCCAGATACGGCAAACTTGATGTTTAGATAGATGTTTAAACAGAGAAAGCATATTTAACATTTTGGATAACTCCCACTTCCCTTCGCTTGGTGCAGGGTATCACCTGTCCAGGCATTCCCACTCTGGCCATATACCCTAACATGTGGAGCGGCTGCGCCAACTTTCTTATCAAGCAGCAACTCAAAAGAAATTAGTTGTGTTTGATAAGAGCCAAAGTAGTAGAAAGTGCTTAACACAAAAGTGCCGGACGTGACGGAATAGCATGCAAATAAACCAAAATTTGAGAACTGAAGCTTCAATTGTTTAAACAAATTTCATATTTTGTTGTAGGGAAATAGAGTACAAATAACGTGAATATGGAAAAGTGTCATAAGAGAATTCACGGAACGAACTTCTGTCAGAATAACGTTAAAGAATACGATTATCAAATATTGAATTTGATAAGAGATCTATTACAAATCACAGGACATGTTGAAAAAAATCTGCAAAAACTTAAGACCAAATTAACACGATTACGACAAACACGTAGGCCAAATAAACGTGATTTGTTGTACAGTGTATTGACCCCAAAAGTCGCCTTTGTCTCTAAGCTGAACAATATACATACATAGCTTTTATTATTTATTTATATTTCTTTAAGTAGATCTTATATAATCTTATGTAATATCCAATATTTAAGGCCATTATCTTCAATTTACCCTTCAGGCGTTAGGGTGTTGCGTGCTTCGGTGTGCCCATTTTGTTCGTGTTATCATTGACAAAATTGAATATTATTCATATTCATATAAGCGATTTGCTTAGATAAGCAACAGCGTCGAAATTTGATCAAGTACCAAATAAACATAATTTACTTGCACATGCACGTTTGTTTACATTTATTCTGTCTGTGTGTAGTCGGCCAGTGCTGCCAAGCAAGAAAAAGCTAATTAGATGTCGAGCAAAGCTAAACAGCAAAAACTCTTGAGATAATTGAAATACATGTGTATATATCCCAAGTGCAATATTTGATGATCCGCACTATATAACTATATATTTATTTGAGTTAAAAAACATATCTATATGTTTATATATAGCCGACGTTTTGACTTTCAGTAGCCGAACCTGCGAGTCTAGGGCCATATATTACGTATTTTATGGCTTTGATAATGAGAAAAACAGGAATGGCAAGCTCAGCGGAAAGATAAGTATTGATAATTTACCAAGATATATCATCATTTCGCAAGAAAGCCAAAAAAAAGATGTACAAGAAAGTTCAAATTGCCGCTGTTTCTAGCCAGATTTGACGAGATATCCGGCGCATTTGGCAGCACTGCGAATGAAGAGGAAGCTGATTTAAAGCAGAGCGGCCGCATCGCGTTTGTTTGTCTGACACTCGATCTGCTTCATTTGCTGATAAGAGTCAAGAGTCAAGGTGCTAATAAAATAGCAGATAATGCAAAAAAAAAATTACACGCACACACTGGCAGAATCTCATTCATAGAGCAGCCTTCAAGAGCTTTGAGTCATCACAATAATATTGAAGGGGGGGGAAAGAAAAGGCAACGCAGCACAATCTTAAAAAGTCGCAGCTGGACGGCGCAATGAAGAAACAACCAAATCTGAGTAAGGTTTAAGTAGGTGGAGGGGCATGGAGGGCCAAGTGCAAAGACAAAGAACAATAAACTGCAGTACGTGACAAGGGCCAAAACCGTGGTGCACAAGACAAGCAGACAGACAGAGAGAAAAAAACAGCAGCCGTTAACTAACACTCGCTAGCACATACATACATACGCTTACCCGTTCACCCGCGCTCGCTCCCACTTCAGCACACATACACACACACACACGGGCACTAAATAAAAATGACGAGTTTTGAGTGAAAACAAGAATTTTTCGGGCGCATTTCGCAATTTGAATAACACAAAAATAGAAACGTTTTATATAGTTGAGAGTTTTTAGTGTTGCTTCTTGCGCACACAAATCAAATTTGAAGCGTAAATTGCAGGGCAACTAATTGAAAATGAAAGGCAGCAGCAGCGACAGCGACAGCAGCAGTCGGCGTTGTTGGCGGCAGCATCAGTATGCCGCTGCACACATATATACACACACAGCATACATAGATAGCTGCACATAATTAGCATTCACTGCTGCTGCTGCTGCTCCTGCTGCTGATGCAGCAGTTCATTCTTATAAGATTTAAGTATGAGTGAATGCAGAAAAGCTTTACGTTGCTGCGCTGACAACAACAACCGCAACAGCAGCAGTTGCAGCGGCAGCGGCAGCGGCAGCGGTCGCCGCAGCACCAATACCAATTAATATATAAATTTGTGTTGCTGGTTGGTTACGTACCTTTTGCACTATTTCCGTCAGGTATATGAATTGCATTTAATTGTACATTTATTGTTAGCCTTGTTGCTATTTTTAATACACAATTGCACTTTTTTTTCGTAGATATAAAAGAAATAACACAAAAAAAATACACTAAGATTGTTTAGCGCCCACCGCCCGCACACTCCGTCAGCTGTGGATAATTAAAATCAACTAATGCCAGTGTGGCCGTATTCAACTCTCTGCTCTTTGGGCTGGTTCGATAAAAAAAAACATTTACTTAGTCCAAGAACGAACTTGTTCAATGGTGCACGAGCTATTGAACTAAAGGAACTTTTTGTTCAATAGTGCACGAAATATTGAACTTAAATAACTTCTACAGCGCATAAAATGTGTAGTTTGAAACCAATTTTAAATTTTATGCTTTTTTTTATAAAGTATCGCGGCTCTACTTTACTATGCATAATTATATAATAAAATAATGCACAGCTGGGACTTACTCACTTAAACGATATTTGTACGCCCGCATTGAGTATATCGATATTCAAATTAATCAGCGACTTTTATTCACAAAACGATAAAAAATCAACAATCTCGCTTTAACCTGATGCTTTATACGCGGATTTTAAGAAAGCAAATTTGAACCTGATGGAAAAAGCCATGGAAGCCATTGCAATACCCAACATTGATGCATATCGGCGTCTGCTAAACAAGGCTGTGTCCCAGCTGCTGCTGGACAAAGGCGCCGCCCTGGCCAGCAATCAATGCCTTGAAACGCTGACCCAAATGATGCAGGCGCGTAAGTGTGAAATATTTTATTATACACATTAGTGTGTATTAAAATATTCCATTTGCAGTGATCGTTGAGATTGGCAATTCGGCGCACAACTACTGTGAGCTAGGCGGCCGCACCATGCCCACCGTGGGCGACGTTAGCTTGGCGCTCATTAACATGGGCATCAACATAAGCAGCCTGGAGCCGTATGTGCGCCGTGGCAGTCATGTGCCCATACCGCTGCCATCACAACAAACCCAACAGCGCCAGCTGAGTCTGCTGCAGGCGGGCAGCAAGGCGTCCCATCCGCATTACGTGCCCAGCTATTTGCCAGCAATGCCCGATCCTCATGCCTACATTCGAACGCCCACGCACAAGCAGCCCGTAACCGAATACGAGGCAATACGGGAAAAGGCGGCCAGTCAGAAGCGTGACGTTGAGAAGGCGCTGACCAAATTCCTGTGCAAAACAACAGACACCAACAATCTCTTTCCCACCGAGGACAACATGTTTCCATGTAAGTGTGCTCTGCGCTTAGTTCTTGATCTTTTGGTTTAAATGTTTTGACATTTTTTTTCAAATGCAAAAGTGATTGCCTGTAAGCCCGCCTTTCCGGCCTATGCAGCTGCCTTGAATCCCACAGATCAGGTATTTGACTTTGAGGAGCTGGAGTACCACTACTTGGTGGCCAATCGTACGGAAGATGTGCCCAGTAAAGGTCGGTCAAAATTGCACACAATAGAAATTCCTACTAACACAGGCTCTACATCTTTCATTTGCAGAGGAGGGCGAGGAGGGTGACAGTGAAAATGAGGAGCTAGATGGCGACAAGTCCAAGGAGGAGAAGCCTGAGCTGGAGATCAAGCCCAATTCAGCAACAAACAAAGCTATTTTAGATAATCCCAATATAGACAATCCCTACTTGCGTGCCGCTACACTGCCCAAGCGCTCCAAGCTGCACAGTGAGAGCACTACGCCACGCATGCTGACATCACGTAGTCTGCACTCGGCTTCACCTACGACACCAACGCCATCAACTCTAGAGATAACCAAAAGTAGTGTTTAGCTATAATTATAAATAGACGCATTGTAATTGTTTTTAGTTTGTAAAAAATATTGGATATACAAACTCTGTTTTTCCTATCGATAGTTCGTGCTTCTGCATAAAATTGTGCGTTAGGTGGCAGCGCTGCGGCAACAAACAGCTGTTTCGGTATAACAATTATTTTTTGCCTAACGATAGCATGTGCTATTGCATTAAATGGCGTTAGGTGGCAACGCGGCGGCAACAATCAGCTGTTTACCAGACCGCAGCAACATTGCGGTGCATTTTATTAAGTTGAATTAATAAAATTATTTTTCAAAGTGTTTACTAACTTAAAAAGCCAACAAATTGCGGTTGTTTTCGGTGCTTTGTAGCGGCTGCTGTACATGAAGTATACCTATTAGAGCTCAACGTGCTCAACATGAATTTCCTGCGCCAAACATTCAACGTTACGAAACAATTGACGGCACAAGGTAAGCTTTGACAAAAACCCTATTTAAAACAATGCGTTGCGCTATTTATTCATATTCCGGTCTAGAGTCCTATATACACACGCGCCCTCTGCTTAATTGCCAACCATGTGAGGCAGCCGCTAGCCGCTTGCGCACATCTTTTCCCAATTGGTGACTGTGCGCATTTTGTGTTTATCCAAGGATCCGGCGTTCTATTGTGTGCACAATGATTTGTATAGTCTGTTGTTTGCCTACGATCTCAACTCTTTTACATGGGCGCGTGGCCGGCTTGCGATCCCGTCGCCCGTCTGCCAGTTCCCTATTTACCCCCCCCCCCCCCCTTCCACTGTGTCATGCTGTGAATATTTTTATAAGCATTTTCTCATGTGTTTCCTGCTTGTGTATATATATTTAATCAGTCGAGTCTGTCTATCTTAGATATCTATGATTGTAATTATTATTATTATTTTCATTTCATGTTCAACATATATTAACAACATCTTTTCAATACATAGATTCACTATATAGCTGCCATAGGACTGATTGGACAAAAATGAAGTTCTTGTATGGAAAAGTTTGCTGTTCTTCAACATAACTTCAGCAAACTCTGACCAAGTCCATTTCCATTTTTCTGCCTGTTTCAATTAAAATTCGGACCAAAATCCGCATAACATGCTGTCAATTGGCATTGACATGCGGCCCACCATTAACAATAGGAATTTGCATGACATGCACACAATAAAAAATCAACAAAAAAAAAAGGACACAGGTGCGTTTGGGTCAGTTGCGGATCGCGGCAGACAATGGTCGGAGCTGTGATTCGCATAGTTCATGTGCGCCTGCTCCCATTGTAAGCAATTGTCCAGCGTTATGGATAATTGTTACCTGTGTGTCCGTCTCGGTTTCTGTGTCTGTGTGTGTGTGGCATTTAATTAAAAACTGTTGTCGTTTTCGATTTTGGATGGAGTACAGTCCAGTCACAGTGCAGCTGAACTGCTGGCAAACAGAAAACCGAGCATAGAGAGTCAACCCCCGTCTGTGGCCAAAGGTTTTCAATCATAAAAGGCTTGAGAACTGACCCACAGCCGCGTCATTTGGCTGCAATTATTATTTGGGATGCAAGCAAAAAGAAAACAACCATATAGGCATGAGATATATGGATGGATGTGCGCAGCATAACAATTATTTTGCGATTTTCACAGAGATTAGCCACAACAAAAGGCGAATGGGCATTGTTGGAGGATGGGCATTTGGAACTGGCCAACTGTTCTGACCCTTTTGTCTGTCGACTCTCTTCTCTCGTTTGTGTCAAATGTTTTAAGCCGCTCGCTGCGGCTGCGCTCACACATGCGGCAGCTACCACACATATATGTACACATATTTAATTGGTACAGTTGTGTCCACTTGCACTGTATGTGTACAGACGTTGGTCGCTCTTTGGTTGATAAATGGACTCTCAACAAGTTAAAGCTTCGAAAATGGGACAAATAGGCAGCCTAGAGTCGCAGGCTAGGAATCGGGAGCTTTACAGAAACTCTGCTTATTTACCTTGTTCTCAGCCGTCTCCTTTTGATTACATTGCAGCTGTGCAGAGCAACTATTTGTGTGCCGCATTCCGTGGCATGGCATCGTTGAATCAAATGCATCGCACTGGACCGCATATAAAGACGCGACCGCCACGTCAGCCGCTGGATGGTAAACCCTTTGCCAAGGGCGTTGTGCTCAAAACATTGATCAAGAAGCCAAAGAAACCAAATTCGGCGAATCGTAAATGTGCGCTGGTGCGTTTATCTACGGGCAAGGAGATGGTCGCCTATATACCCGGCATTGGACATAATCTGCAGGAGCATAATATTGTACTATGTCGCGTCGGACGGCTGCAGGATGTGCCCGGCGTCAAGCTGAAGGCGGTGCGCGGTGTCTACGACCTGGCGCATGTTATCAAGAAGGGCCAATAGTTAACTACCATGTAATTCTCTTCCATTAAAAAAAGAAAACAAACCAAATGTTCAAATCTTCGAGTGCATTGTTGTTATTATTATGCAGCATATATTTCTTTTTTCTTATGGAAAATTATGCAGCTCAGCCGGCTTAGTGTAAGTAGCCAATACACACACACACACACACACACACAACAAGTGAGCTCTGGCCTCGCCTCAGTCCAACTTGTCTTGCGCCGTAATCTTAAGTCAACAGGCCAATTGCGGGCCAGACAATTGTCCAGTGCTGCCAACTGCGGTTCCTAAAAACGAGCTAAATCCCATGTGAAAATTAGCTAGAAATGGCGATAAGTGAAAAGACTTCAACTCTTTCCGGCCAAAGACCGCTGAAATTAGCCAAATGTTAGCCAGAAAATAGCTGATTTCGCAACACTGCACATTTGTTGCCCATTCGGAATGTAACGAAATAACGGCATTTTTACGCTTTAGCTGGCAAATCCCTTTTTGAAGAAACGGCCCGTCTTTGCTTTTTAACAGAATTTGCACAAATTTTATGCCAAATAATCGTTAAGCGAAATGGGCGTCGACCCGCCACGCCACATTTTCACAGTACGCAGAGCCTCGCCTCGCCTGTGTTACTGGATACGACAAATTTTGAATAGGCATTGACAAGGATGTCGAGCATCTGGGCTGCAGGATAACATCTGTATTCAATTAATCACATATTTAAGCTTGCAAGGATTGATCGTGAGTATCTTGATAGTCATAGGAGAGTAGCTATAAGCTAACATATACGAGAATAAAACATTAATTAATCCGGAATCCATATGCAACTTGAGGTCCGGCCCATTGCAGTGCGTAGATGAGGATTTTCAGATGTGATTATATTATATTACTAATTAACTGATTTCACAGTAAAACTGTTGTTTATTGTGGCCTTGTTGTAGCGGGTAAGTCAAATTCTCATATATTATTTTCTGGTGCCGTGTGGACTTCTGGGGCTTGCGCGTACGTTGAGCTTGTGCGTCTGCCGATTAATACGCATCAAAA